GCTTACCCCCGCTATTGCCCTTTGCTTGTGTTCTTAAGTCAAAGCGCTTAATGATACAACCTTGAACAAACAATCTGAGCGGCTGGTGGGGCCCACCCGTACTCACAATTCTCCAGAAACCTCCTTAAAATATGCCTGATGACATTACTACAATCCATGCTACAGCGCCCACGGGAACCGACTTACTCTGAAACTTTGGTATATTGATGCGGCCGAATGGTATGTAAACTGGAATACTCACCGGGAACGGACTTATGAGATCATGTGCTGGAATATGCGAAGGTTCCTGAACCCTTGTATCCAAAGTCCGACGGTGCACAGTCTCCATCGGTACCACGCGGATGTCTAGTGCCTGCACGAAGCCCCCGATCCTCCACCTTGGGTGCAAGGAAAATAAAAATCCCGAAAGTAAAATCCCACTTTACTCTGTGTACCACAGTGGCCCAAGCGACTTTTCTGGTAGACGTAGTGTGCCTATTACCCTCTCCAAACAAAAACTGGCAGTTTTAGCAGCTTGTTTGGCTGCCCATTGTCAAGGCTCTCGATGCTTTAAGGAAAAAAGTCAACATGATCTTCTCTTAATGCATATTTTTTTAACGCGGTCACCAGAATGTTACCGAGAAGAATTTGGAAACATACTGTAGAAAACAATTCATGCAAGCATTCATTGCTACATTGTTAGTACGTAATGTCACTTCTGGTAAATTCCACCTCACATAAAATTGTCTATTTTCTGCTAGACCCTGTGCGTCAGTTGGCTCACCCACAAATTATCGTGAGTGATAACTAATTAGGGACGGGAGGAGATAAGAAGAAGCAAATCCTTATTATCCAGCACCTGTTTCCTGTCAGCTCAATATAAACGTGATAAAATCACCACGAGGTTAATCAAAGTTTTTTTTTTCAGTCTAAGGCTTGCGCCAGAGGAATTACCACCCACCTAAAACGTTCAGCGCATAAATACACGGCTGTTTAGTGTAGGGATCTGTATCAGTCACCGTTTTCTTAAGTTAGAACTCACGGCAGGCCACCCCAAATAATATCAGACTGGGATGTTTGGATTTGATTTAAAAGTTTCAACTTAAAGGTGTGGCCAGATCCCTTCGCATGAGTATTAGTTCTTTGGCACGCA